TTGGAGTTTGAAAACGTGCGAAACCTCTTTTGAGGGAGCGGCTGCATGGCTCTACGTGCAACGAGTGCAGCTTGTTGACGGAAACAAGGAGTTCTGTCGTTCGATCCAACCACCATTACTGTGCTAATGAGAAGATTGTGGAGCACTGGAACAATGCCTTGTTCTACGTCTGCATGACTATGTACAGCAGTTTGTAGGGCAGGTGTAGCCCAGTTCTACGTCCTCGCAGCTGTTACAGCTCTGCGTGTCAGCTGATGTCTTTTTTATTGTGCAGTTGTAAGAAAGTACCTATATATACCTGGCAGCTGCTCAGCGACCCCTATATAGAGATATAATATTAAGTATTAAGAAAACCCTTTAAGCAGAGAAACTTTTTAGCAACGCAAGCAACACGCTATGCACCTATGTATATACACGCTACTTCAAAGGCTACTTCGAAGAACTTTTCCGGGGCAACAATCTTGCAGCGCTGGTTCTTTATGTAAGAAGTTCAAAGTAAATGAGTTGGAGTATCATAACAATTTATTGAAATGGTATAATTGATAACAAGAAAGTTATCTACACTGCCATTGCTAGTTGTACGAATGTCTCTTTGTTAATGAAAGTAAGTGAGTGAGTTATGTGAGATATTACCACGATACAATTGAATAGCAACTTGGATAAATAGAAAATTGAAAAATAATTTTTTAAACTACCAAGATGTTACAGTCACGCTATATTTCGGTGTTTTGTAGTTCTATATATTGCTAGATTCTATAATATTGTGGAGTTAGTGACCATAGAAACTGTCACTGGAGAAATTTTTATTTTATTTTGGAAAACCGGCTTTATTGTATAATTTATTAAGGGTTTAATCGTCAATGTGATCATTAATGCTGTCATTACGAATACGATTGGAGAAATAATTTTGATTGGCTGAGGAATTCATGACGAAGGATTTTTCTTGAGTGTCAGGATCCTGAAATCAGGTTTGTGCTACTAAAGCTGGACAAGTCTCAGTCACAACCTATAGGTACATTTACCTCAACATTTTGAACCCAAGCAAAGCAAACGGCTAACATCGTTGTCAGGCTTTGATTTGGCGATTTGCATGTGCTGTTAGAGTGCTCGATTTTGTTCTATTTATAGTTATCGATAAGTCGTTTATGAGTAATGAAACATTTTAGGATGAAAATACAATGTAATAAACAAGATAAACAATTACAATACTCATTACACTATTATCCATGCAGAAACTGCATGGATATACAATGACTTGAACACGAGTGCACTAACGTCACCTATTGATTCGTTTGTTTGTCGGGACTGACAAAAGTTATGCCTTCTCTTAGAACGCAACGCGATCTTAATGAAATAGCAACGAAGAATGAAGGTTTATCGAATACATGAAGGCAAGGCAGAATTCCAGCCTAACTGCAGATGACCTTTGCATCCGTTACTTAAATTAAGGCACAAATCGGGCGCTAAATGGAGGGAGTGGTGCAATTCGTTTCACCCGCACTTCGTCCAATTGAGCTTCAACTTGACCCAAAAAAGTCTCCATTAGTGAAACATTTGCGCCTACCAAAGTCAGCGCTGGCCGCACTCGTGCTGAACTTTGCAGAAGAATGGTTCCACGAAAAAAAAATTTGAGTTAGGTCCGATATTGTGGTGGCCATGACCAAAAATAAACAATATACTAACACATCTATTAATGCAAATACAATTATCATCACTTCTCAGCAAGTTAACGGATTTATGGAAAAGGCTTAATTTTGGTTACAGTTGAAAGGCAAAAGCAAGAAAAATTTTTAAAAAACTTACACATCAACAGAACACATCAACAGAATACATTTCTGTTGATCCCATCAAATTTGGGTGAAGATGAAACAGTACATAAATCGTAGATTTTCCCTATTTCATTATTACGAAAAAAAAAAGTTTCAACGACTCTATTTTCAGCACGAGTTTCTTTCGAGTTATGCAAAAGTTGAACAATCTTTCTTGTCAATTTCATTTTAGTAGCTATAGTAGTCGTGTTCCGATAATAATTATTTTTTTTGTGAAACATTTCAATACCCATTATAATTTGTGAAGACAGAAATATTTATATTCTGAGTCGAATTACTCCATTCCCTTTACTTTCGAGTAGTGTTACAATTTTTATTACCAACTGCATAGAAATACTACGACAAAATTTAGAATATAACAGATTCTTTGAAGCTATCATGCCAATATATGTTCAAAAATTCTTTTCCACATTCCGAAATAAAAAATTCTTCGAGATAAATTTCACTCTTTCAACATCAGGCACTTAAATTAAACCATCCAACACTTACTGACTACGGAAGCTGCACTTAAAGGATTGCAATTTCTAGCGTCATTTTAAATACAATATAATTTATAATATATCACATGCTCACGACCGGATAGAAGTTTTCTTGAACCTGGACCGATGTGAGCGCGAGATGGGCGATCTTCTGTGACCACACATGTCGCTGCGGTCGCCATGGTGGCTGAGTTTTGACCCGAAGCTTTTCTTTCGTTGCTTACCTGTTGCTTGTCTGCATTTTGACCAGAACCGTTCCATGCCTGGTCACTCCGACTCGACCCGTGCGCCGGCTCATCTCAACAAAAAATCTCTCTTGATATCTTTTAGCAATTGGGGCTTGACGAGACGAGCTACCGAGGGACGACCGTGTTTCTTGCTTTGCTTTGCCGCGGTAGAAGCATTTGAAGTCATGGATAATTCTTAAAATAACACGTGCTTAAAGAAAACTCTCTCATTAAGAGTCCCGTAGGTGGAAATTTAATTTAAGTAGGTATACGTCATTGAGGACGAACAACCTACATTATTTAAATGATATTCTTGCATGCTAAATTTTAGCGAGTCAAAGTCACTTACTGAGCTCAATACTTGACAAAATAAAATTGTATTACTTTCCCATGAATAAACGTTTTACCGAACAGTAACACCTGTTTCCTGTTGGAGCGCCGGTATTAATCTCTTTATACGACAAAAAAGAATTATTTCATTCGACATTATTGGTTACATCAAGATTAAACAAGTGATGACTAAATGCTGTCGCAATAACCTAGATTGCCAAAACATGTCAAATTAATTTTCGAACTGAATTCAAATTTCCATAATAGCCAAACATTCATCACATATAATGTTAGACAAATATTTCAATATACTAGAAGCGTTACCACCATATTAAGTATTTATTAGATTTTCACTTAATCTTACATCAGAAGTCGTACGTGATCCTTGATCTTCAAATATAGGGCCCATGGATATCTGAGCTCAGAAATGTCGGTCGCAGTTCTTTATTTTTTCATTGATTTAGTTCTTTGGTCGGAAGGAAACAAACACGCGAGCTTCCCGCCTCCAAAAACAAGCAGGTCAGAAACGAAGACAAATTCCTGAAGTTTGGAGCGCCTGTGACTGGAGTCCGGCAGCGGGAGCAATGAACTCTAACTGGTTGGAGCAGCGGGGCGGAGGAGCAAGCTGGAGGTGGAGGAAGAGACGAGGAAGCCGGGAATAAACGTCATAACGAGGAGTGGAATAAGTAAAAGGTCGAGTTGAAGATGGACAAGAAATGGTAGGAAGATATAAAGAGTATTGAAGGTAATGAATAAGCGAGATTATACTAAGAAGCCTGTTTTGGGTGACACTCAATTTCAATGGCGGTTAAGGTATTTACATTATTAGGCACTGTGTTGAAAATTATTTCACTTTTTTTCACGAAGATTAATTTACGAGTTGAACTTGATATGGATCGTGTTGGTACGTAGCTCGAACTAACGAAGCAGAGGCCACGACACGGAACTGCATCAGCTCCCCAGCTGCGCGATGAGCGCGTGACCGAAGGAACCCTCTGGCAAATCTGACACGGTCACCACTCGTGATTATTCTTCACGTGCATGGGGGTGAAATTTCTTTAATTTCGTAGGATATTCACCAGAGGGCAAACTTTCCAGCCTATTTATCGATCGAAATTACTTCATTTTATTTTCGTCTACAAGTTTTTCTGACTGCATAATCTAAAGTCACGCGGACTGCATCCATAATTGAAATGGAATGACCAATTCCTAGAACAGTTCAACGCAGATGGAACAAACTGCAACGGAGCTCAGTCAGGCGACAGGAGTTAGGTGGACGCTCGTTCCCATTCCACCCTCGATGTAGCACAGCCAAGCTACGCGACCCCGATAACTAACTGATAAACCAACGCTTGCAAGATTCTACGATCCGAGGCTATTGACGTGGACAAAGGTAGGTACAATGTACTTATATGTAAGTACTTATAATTGCAGCGTACTAAAATGTTAGAGCAGCTTACTAAAATGTAAGTGCAGCGTACTAAATGTAAGTGCAGCGTACTAAAATGTAAGTGCAGCGTACTAAATGTAAGTGCAGCGTACTAATATGTAAGTGCAGCGTACTAAAATGTAAGAGCAGCGTACTAAATGTAAGTGCAGCGTTCTAAAATGTAAGAGCAGCGTACTAAATGTAAGTGCAGCGTTCTAAAATGTAAGTGCAGCGTTCTAAAATCAAATATCCGTTTTAATGTTCAGCTTATGCAATAGTTGTTTTAATTTTTTGTCAAAGAAATTTTTGTTATGGGCGAGCATTTGATGAGATATTCTTTTTTTAGCTATTTTTATTCTTTATAATTGAGGTTGATGCTCTCTAGTCGCCACGAAACTTGGTCTTTACTGTTTCAGAGAATTACGTGAATTAATTATTGTTGTGTAAATAAATTATTGCTGTATAAAAGAGATTCACGGATTAGCATTCTCTGAGATCAGTAATATAATTTTACCCCTCATTTTCAAGTGCATTGAGCAAATAACTAAAAAGTTCGTTTTCATTTAAGATATTCACCGACGCAAAAATTAAAAACGGAAAGTAACATCACTAGTAACGAAACGTTTACCAGCGCTAACAACTTGGGTGGACACAGGAGAAAGACGTTTTTTGTGCAAAGCAACGTTTGCGGCCACATTTAACCGCACTAGGAAAAATAAGAAGAAGGCTGTGGACTTGGCACCGCCGCACCGCCTCGCAGGAAACGTGGCAACGCCGCCCCCACAACTTCATTCGAGGCAGAAAGTGTGTCATAGCCCAGTTCCCTGGAGCTGCACGTGTGCGTGCCGCTGCTCACGTACACGCCGTGTGCACGTAATGTGTGACTCACGTACACGCTTGCGTGAAGTGTGTCTCGTGTACACGTGCCAGGCTTCATCCACCCGACGTATGTGCGTGCCTCAGGTACACGCATTGCCTCAAAACGCATGTATGAGCGCCGCGTGTACCTCATTTAAATGTCAGTGTAGGGACATGTGTGTGCAGTGTGTTTCACTTCGTTACATGTATGAGCGTGTCGCGTGTGTAACGTATAAGCCTGTGTCAGTACCACACGTACACGCGTGTACGTGGGGAGTGTGTCTCATGTACACGCTTGTCTTGCCTACGCTCATGTCTCACGCACGCATAAACTGTGAGCCTCATTTACACGCACGCGTACCTCACGTACACGTTTGCGTGCGTCACGCACATCGTCCAGTATTTCGTAGGTCAGCTGTGTGCCTCATGTATGCGCTGGTGTGTAATACTCAGTAGCAACTTATTCAAGTTCCTCGCGCTCATACATCTGTGTGCACTGGTAATAAATTTTGAGAGTTGGTTCAATATTCACTATAGTGAGTTTTTTGTTCGTAATTATATCATATCAACGAGCAATTACGTTGCTTTCGCAGGTATTGGTACGCAATTAAATGCCTTATTTGTACACATATCGTAAAGTATTTAGGTGCGTAATATATTTAGCAGCCCTATTTTTATAGATATCAGTGAGCATTATAATCTTAATATGCACAGTTAGTTCCGCGTTCCAGTGGAAAGTAACATCAGGCGTATATGTCCCTATATACGCCTTATAGTGGTCTTAACTATCAGTTTAAATCGCTCAAAAACCGACACCCGGCGGCGTTGAAGACATCAGCAGAAGGTTATAGATGTGCCCGTTTCTCCATCATATCAATGGATTAGATCAGATATTGCCTAAGCACTTTTTTTTAAATCTTATGATCCATTTGCAGTTCAATAATCATGATATTAGGTAACGAAATGCAAATTGGCAAATTCAAACTGTGAAACGTTTTGCCATTGAAAAGAATGTTCATCAAATAAATAAAATTTAGGAAACGGTAATTTAATTTAAAATCACGAATTTATTCATGACATTTTGTAGGAGCAAAAGGAAGCATGAACTGTTCCAATATAATATTTGATGCCCTTATTAGTTTCATTCAGGATATTGTAACCATAATGGACTTATTTATAGGATTGAATTTATGCTCATTTAGAACCTTAATAAAATTGACACTATTTATTAGGAAGTAATAGCGGACAAAATATATGGCTTGAAGTAACGACAGGTACGGCAATATTTTTGGTATATGGATTCGATTTAGATTACTAGCGTTATATGTTGATTTGATTTATAGCCTTTTGGATAACATATAAGGTAATCTAATTGATTGTAATGTAACATTGTAAGTATTCTCAGCTGTTAAATATAGTCTTTTGGAAGCTTTTGTTCTTTACACACCTGCCTGCGTGGCCAATAGTTAACAAATTACTATCTATGACATAGCCCGTAAAAACGAAGTACCGAGCTCCGAGTTTCATTAACAGAAAAGTTTCGGCTATTTTAAATAGCTTCTTACGAGGAAGAAACGTCGTGTGTGTCAGAAACGTCGTAAATTGTTATGTAATGCCTATTGGAAACATTACATTTAAATTTTAAATCCTCCCAAAAGCCTATTTGACGAATTCAGAAAATCAACTTACAAATTTTCAATAAGAAATACTCTCTGGTCTTCAACGAAACAACATCTTATATGGTCTTACCTCTGCTCTTCAACGGAACAACTTCATATGGTTTATACTTCCCCCTTAAAGCTCAATTCCTGCCCAACTATACGATTATAATGAAGATTACATGTCTTTAACAACCGTAATCATCCTTGCCACTTCTTAAATAAACAATTTGTAATTTGAAATAATTGTTTCCAGCGTAAATTTCGAACGCACGCTGTCACCACAAATTGGATTTCACGCTTCTTATTCGTGTCTCCGGCCATGTTGGGATTTGGTCCGAATCAACTTTCACGGTTTACGTAGTTTGTGTCAACTCTCATGGTCATGTCTATACAGACCATGACTATATGCCTCGTTCGTACATTAACGAATGAGTATCGCGATCTACTTCATGGCAATCATCGTTATGATGTCTACGCATCTTCTGTACAAATAATGACTTGCAATAATGAATGAAATGTCGTGTCTTCTCTATGGCAATCATCGTTATGATGTCTACGCATCTTCTGTACGCAAACCAGCAAGAAAAATGGCGATTTGTTTTGTTTCACAGCACGGTATCCAGCCTAAACTTACCGGCCGCCTCCGTATAAACCGTGATGATGAAATATTGCTGTCTACTTAATGGCATCAGTCATGATTACGATATTCCAGTAGAAACAATGGCTTGCAGATACGAATGTATCTACGCAATGGTTTGTATACAAGTTTGTTTTCTCATTAGATGAAATAATAGATATTATCTTTCGCCAAATTACTTGACGTCATTTCTGGTCTAATTATTCCTGTTCCTTGGATGAAATTAAAAGAAAAGTGACAGAAGAACACATAATTACATTGACCAATATAATGGATCTGAAATTAGTGTGCCAAAAGATATAATTAAGGAAGTTTATTGCTCGTTTGTTCACACGAAAAATCTTCATTATAGCGCGTTGTTTTAAGCCTACGATGATGGTAAGAACAAGTTCTTCTTCCCAAATGAAAAATCACTCGGACAGTGTAAACTAAATTTCCAATATACTTAAAGTTGAAGTAATCATCAAAATTTGCTAAAAATCCATTACAAATAAAATTCTTGAAAGTAAATTCGACGTTAGGGCATGAATGCGTATAACCGTGTGGCTCACAAAGTGCAGTTACATTGGTCAGCAGCTAAAAATAAATTACCGGATTGATGTCGACCTCACTAGGCCATGTTCCCAAAACGAGATGCAACAAAACCCAACATTTATTATGTGGGCATTCGCTCTCAAACGAGTTTACGACATTATTTGATTCCGTAAATTTGTCGGCTGGAATTTTATTTGTCTGCCAGTCCTCGCAGTGAATTTATATACAGCTGTCTTATATAGAGATTGAAAACATAGTGTATTTAAGATTATATGAAACGAAGACAAGCGATGTTTAAATATTATAATTGAATTGTTATTCACTTTACAATCATTACGAATATGTGATATTAAGGAACGATATCTGCTAATTTTTCTTCCGTCATTTCCATCGTCATTTAAAGGAAGAAAGAAAAACAAACACTATGAAGTTTTCCTCTTAGTTTAACTCAATGTAATATATGACTATGTTTTATTATATATCATTCAACCTGACTCGCAATATTTCATCCAGGTCAACCATACTTTTTCTCTTTCGTCCAAATCAACCTGACTTGATCTACTTCCTGCAAGTCAATCTCATTCGTTCTATTTCATCTAAGTCAACATGACTAGTTCTATTTCATCCAAGCTAGTTAACCTGACATGTTCAATTTCATCCAAGTCACCTTGACTCGTCATATTTCATCCAAGTCGACCTGACTCGTTCTATTTTATCCGATTTAGTTCCTGACTCATCCTATTTCATCAGGGCCTGAATTATTCGTTCCTTTTTATCCAATTAAATTAGACTGTGTTATATTTTTACCCATTATAGACGCGGATGGATTGGGATGCACTCAAAAGCATTACAAATCTAGCTCCAGCATGACCCTATATATGACTCGAGAAGATGGAGAAGATTGATTCTATCACATAATATCGCGTTATAGCATACCATAAAAGTCCTCGTACTTGTTGAACCATGATCATGTTGTTCATTATTTCGGATTTGTTAATCATGTCGTAAACCAAATATTCCTCGAATTCTAACTTGGCCATTTGATTACTGATTCGGTCGATGAGTTTGGGCTTTACATCCCTAAATCATATATAGACTTTAGACGCTCATTTCGAAGCAAAAATGCATAATCACAACGACTTAGACCAAATGGTTTGTTGCCCTACTCATTTTGAACATCAAAAGATCGAACCTCATAGCGACTGAAGTGTTTTTGTGCTGATCTCGAGTTGGTAATAGCACGTACGACAGCTCCAATACATCCCGACTCGTATGAATGACACGCGCGTTCGTCGGCACAGATGTTTGACGAGATCTCCTTCGCACAATGGGAGAAAAGCGTCGATTTGTGTCCGGCTCCGTTAGCTTAACCTTTCTGGGTCATAATCACTTGATTTAATCCTTGAATGTCCTGATAATTTGTCCGCATCGACCAAAGATATATTAACGTTAATAGAGCTAACAAAATTCTTGATATCGGCTACTAATGAGTTAATTTTTATCAGGTTGATTCAAATGAGGAGATAATCAACCCAAAAAATATTTATTGGTATTTTTGACAACGTCATCCTGCTCTTTACTATTCTTTTATTTGTGGATAAAACACAACAGAAAACTAGAGCACATAAACTGTTTAATGATGCATCAGAAAATTCATTACCTATCGTGTCTTAAAACTAACTAATATTTAATAGTAAAATATTCATGTGCAACCTTTATACGACTGCTCGTTCGACCGATAAATTCGTGTAAATTATATTTATGTAATTCAGTGAAATTCTCCTGAGATCTGAACCACAAGTATTAAGATCGGCCCGACATAACAGTTTGAAAATTTGATGGTGAATTTGTGTGTAAAGAGTTTTTGTTTTTACGTTAATGTTGGATGCATTTTGTGATGATTGTGATTGTTTTTTTAGCACATTTTCTCATTTATGAAAAAAATGCACTATTGTGCTCGCCATGTCCGTCTGTCTATCTGTCCGTCCGTCTGTCAGTGACCTCAAGTTTTCGTCGACGAGAAAATGCGCTCTCTGTCACTCACCGCTGTGAGTAATGAGTTATATTTTTTGTTTCTTTTGTGTTCGATTGTGTTCAGTTTTTTATGGATCCGCCCCGTTTTTGTAACCTCTCAGCAATTTTTGGTAAGTAATGTTTT